GATACTAATTTAAGCATTGGAATTTGTGTGGCTATCGGTGTTGAGTGTTATTAATTTTGCACGATCCACACTCGTTCTCGTTTCTTCAATTGGTGCACATTTGGCAAAATCCGAAAGAGCCTAAATTCAGCCTCAACAATAATACTTAATAAAAAGAGACAAAAAGGAGAAATCGAAAGTTTGTTCCTTAAATCTATTTTAATATTTTAGAAATTCTAGATTATTGATACATCGAGTAAATATGTTTAATAAATGGAAATGAAAAAGAAAAATTTTATCAACCAATCAAAATCATAKCTATATTTGCCGACAAATCATAAAGTTGASTTGAGAGAATTTTTTAATTTTTTTTTTAATATTTTCATTTTGACAATGATGTGAGAAGATTTGAATTTTGAATTTTGATGGAGTCGTGTAGAACTCATTAATTAGAGTGGCTATCGATGGGAACTAAAAAGAAAACAAAGGTTATTAATGGAGAAAAATAAATTATACACGTCAATTTACCCATTGGTCCACGTGTCAAAATATATTTGTTCTCCATCGTACCCTTAGACTTTCTTTGACTACTTGGTTTTTTTTTTCCCTTTTTTTTTGCTTAACAAGTCTCAATTATTGCCTGTTAGATGAAATTTTATTTTTCTATATCATGTATTTGTAACAACTTTACATTTTTTTATTATTTTATTTTTTCTTATTGTGTTTTAAAATTTTAGTTTCAAAATACATATTTATTTTATGCTATTTATGGGAGTGTCTTTTATTTTTAGGTTAAAAGCACAAATTTGATCTATATTAGTTTGGGGTATTGTTTCATTTTGATTTTGTTAAGTTTAAAATTTTCAATTTGACCACTATAGTTTGAGCTTCATTGTAATTGAAGTTTAACCAAATATAGGAGAACAAATTGAAACTTTAAAATCAATATGGACCAAATTAAAACTATAAATACTAAATTAAATTTTAAAAGTTATAAAGATTAAATTACTATGAATACTAAACTAATTTTTGGAGCTCATAAAGACTAAAGTGAAATTAACCTCAACCAATAAAGATAAAATATGTAATTTAACTTCATTTTTATTTATTTAAAAATATTGAAAGATGAAACCTTCCAATTTTTGCTTTAAGAATTTGTGGTCATACCCAAAACTTGCATTTATACGATTTATGGGCGCTGTAGAAATATATATATTTTTTTTTTTTGAGAAAACGTTGAAGAAACTTTTTTTTAATATCATTTGACATGGCACAATCTAAAGACTATTAAAAGGCAAGTATCATAACTATTTTATTTGCAATTGTGAATATAGGTTAAAACCTTTGTAATTTTATTAAATTAACCATTTAGTAGTATGTAATGATTTAGTCTATGTATTTGTAGATGTGTAACAAGTTTAGTCTTTATTATGTAACAAATTTAGTTATTGCTAGGAAAAGTCTCACTAAATTTAAGTATTAATTTTTATTACGTAACGATTTAATATTTGTAGTTTTTAATACATTTGGTTCATCGTCAGTGTATCAATTTTAGGCATATAAAAAAGGTTAGAAAYTAACTAAATTTTCATGATAGATATTAAATCATCAAAAATTTTAAGCTATAGGAGCTTAATTTTACATATTAAAGTTTAATGTGCACCGGTGAGAAAAGAGTTGGAATCCATCGAAATATTTATGTAAAAYAATTTTGCCTATATCTAATTTGAAAGAACAATGAAGAATAAGACCAAAAGGATAATTAAAGATTAATTGAGACGTTGATAAATTTAATAAAAAGATTTARTAATTAAACTTTTCTAATAAGGAGACGTTTTGGACTCACTCAACATCTTTTATAAGTCTAGGTTTGTGTTTCAAATTAGAAAACTCTACTTATTTTTTCTTTATTTTAATTATTAACTGCTATGCTATTATTAAACTTTATTTTTTAATAAATWTTTWYAAACATGAATGAATTTTTCATATTTTGCATAAATATATAGCTATTATATTTAGCTTGTATTAGTTAGAAATTTTGATATTTTAATATTTGTTATAATTGTTTTTGTTGTCCAGTCAAATCAAATCAAATCAAATAAAATGGATCATTTCTAAGGAAGAACCAATCAAGGAATTTTGTTATATCTTCTAAGTTCGTCAATTTTAACTCGTTCACCACGCGTGAGTCTTCCTAGCTAGGATAAAAGTTATGCATTTTGGTTTATAAATGCTTGTCACTTGCTACATTGACTATGAAAATAAGTTTATATATATATATGTATATATTTATTTATTTATGCAAATAGAGTTAAGTCAAGATAATATTATAATATTATAAAAGTATAAAGAGGCTCGTTGTCACAACTTTATTTAGAATGTTACATCATATGCCTCATATATATACTTACTATTTTTCACTAGTTGGAAACTGACTTTTTGTGTTGTCAATTTTTAGTTAAGTTGTATCTTAGCACAGCCATTCAATGAATATTAAGATGATATTAATACATTGATTACTTGTCCAATCTCAAATCACTCAGGCTATATATCCACCCTTTTGACAGTGCTCATTTCTAATTTCCTTACCACTGTCAATAGGCTAAACAACTTTGTTAATCGTTAAGAATCCTACATCGAAAAGATAAAAGGACTTAACAAAGTTTATAAATGCATGAGTTACTCTTTTTATTACCAATTAGTTTTGAGATGAAGCTTTATGAATATTAAGATGATATCAGAGTTCAACAAGCTCAAACGAACATCTGGTACAAAACAAAAAARAATCTAACMAAAATTGATAAGTAAAAAAAAATTCACGTCAATGATCTCAAAAATATCAAGAGACCGAATAAAGTTTAAAACTTGTTTTCGTCGAGAAACTAGCATTGTCCTCGATCCAAACCATCTATCTTGGACATGTCAAGTTCAASTCATCTTTTATTTGAATTCTCTTTAACAACAACCTTAACCTTAGTTAATCAACTCCAAGAAGTTCTTCTTACGATTATGGATTGCTTTGAGAAGGTTTATGACTTACAAGCTCGAACAAGAATATAACAATTAAAAAATGGACCAACTTGATAATACAAATTAAGAACTAATCCTTATTCCATTTATGACTATTTTGTTCATAGTCAATAATCTAGTTATAGAATGAATATATATATATATATATATATATATATATATATATAGACTACTCAGAGAAGACGCGGAAGACAAATTCAATAGCTACCGAGAATCGGGCCGATAGCTACTTAAATTATAAGTTTAATTCATGAACTTAACAAATTTTTTTAAGTTTTTAAAAGTGTTTAATAAGTTTCTAAATTTTGAATTTTATGTCTTGAGTATCTAATAAATCTTTAAACTTTTAATTTCGTGTATAGTAGGTTTCAAATTTTCAATATATGTCATTGGGTATTTTATAGACATTGAACTTTCAATTTTGTATGTGATAGATCCTCGAACTTTCACTTTTCGCYTGATAGGTCTTAACCTTTACAAAAAGTTTTAAAAGATCTATTAAACATAAAATTGAATTTTGTATTTAATACGACCCYGGACAGTTAATTATGTGTCAGATAGGTCTCTAAACTTTAAAAGTATGACCTATTATATTAGATATATTTTGAAATTTATAAACCTATTAAATACAAAATTGAAAGTTCAATAATTTATTTGACACAATTCTCAATGCTCAAAGACTAAACTTTGTTGTTTAATCTAGAAATTATTACTAACTATTTTTTTCTTTTCGGTTCGTGGGGCAATGAACCTTCCATCTTAGAGAATGTAATAGGTGCATTATCTATTGATCTATATATATTTAGATTGATTTGGTAATTTAAGTTAATTAATGATAAATATATTACTCTATTTGATGATTGATAAATTGTACTATATTTGTACTAAAAAAATTGTACTATACCATCAATAATTTTGAAAAGTGTATTTTATTTATTATCAAACAATGTAGGTTTTTTAAAACATACATCTAGTTATATAAAATCACTTAGAAAATTCTCTTATCAGTAACAAATCAGTGACAACTCCAAGGACCTATCTTATTGTTATTTAATTAATGTGTTTGTTTAAACTATTCTATTTCTCCAAGAATCAATCCATTTATTTTTCATTTCTTGATCTTTGTTACCATCTATTCTTGTAATAATGTACCTGTTTAATTTTAAATTAGTAATACATGTGCTTACATTTTAAATAATAGCTTATAGAAGTTTTTTATCGGTACAATATGTGGGGTAAGGGATCGAACTTGCAACCTCTTGATTAGAGATATATATCAATTACCGTTAAGATATGCTAGTTTATAGAATTTACTTTATGAGATTGATAAAATRTTCATAAGCTTTCATAATATTCATGATTATTCTAAATGGATATATTAGTAAATTTGAGTTATTATACTAGCACTAACATCGATAAAGATGACATTATRGACAAAATAAAGCCCCATTGATGAATGAACTACAAAAAAAGTCCGGTAAAACAGCCTAGATCAAGCAAAGCTCTTGGRCTAAAAACATAGAAAAGTTGAGCTCTCAAACATAAATCCTGCGAGTCGTATGCATGGGTCTGCCATGAATCAAGTTTGTAGATGCAGACAAATGGGTCGAGCCCCAAAGGTTGAGCTATATGGCCAACCAATCATTGGAGTCAAGCCTTAAGTGACAAACCCCTACCCGTCTTCTCAATCTATTTGTAAATCAATCAAGTCATTCCACTCAAAATTCAAAAGAACAAGATATCTTAAGGTCTTTAGGTTTTATAGACGGGAGAAAAGTCGGAGTACATCATAAAATCTTAATTTTTGATACGCTAACCCTAACTCGATTCTGATTTCAACATTATTGATACCATCATCTAATAACTTAAATCATTATCTAATCACTCAAGTTATGCTCAGGAATTATTAAAAAGAAAGTAAAAAGCTTCTATTTCATTTTTATGGTTTTATCACTTTATCCAAAGTTCTTTCCCCTCAAATGGCCATAGGCCATCTTCTCCAAATAAAGACCAACCGTTCCTTCTTTCTCTTACCCCTTCACTCTCCATGAAGCCCGATTTATCAGCTAAGCCTTCTACTCTGTGGAATTGGTCTCCTTATCCTTCCCCGCCATCAATAATCGAGCTCAATTCCGCCATTTTTACTCTGTAGAAAAGCTTGAGCCTCCTCAAGCTCCATACCCAGTGCCAAAATGGAAGGCGCTCTCTTCCCCAACAGATGCCCACTTCCTGTGAGTAGACCCAACCAGCCAATTCAAACTCTGAAGTTCAATTCAACAACTCTTCCGCCTCCTCCTCCGTCGTCGCCATCTTCCTCATTTCCGATCGATACTCTGCTCCAGCATCTTCTTCAGTTGTCTTTGCCCCCCAGTGACAGCGCCCACAAGCTCAAACCCGTAAATGTTGCGCAAAACAATGTCGCCCGTTTGCCGTCTCTTCAAATTTCAGTGGATTCGACCAGGAAACAGAGAGAAGGGCCTCAGTTGAAGAAACCCGGTTTGAATTCAGCTACGCAATTTGAGTACAATGACGAGGAGATTCGAGATGGGCCTCTTCATTTTCTCTCCAAGAAGGGTATGTGCTTACTCAATTCAATTACGGAACAGCCTTTAGACAGCTTGAATTCTTTTTTTTATTCTGTCAAATTTGAGTTGCTTGAAGTTGATTTGGTCAGTCTCTTGAAAGCGCTAGACCTTTCGGGTAATAGTGAGAGAGCTATTTTGTTGATTGAATGGGTCGTGTCGAACTCTGGCTTTGAAAATGTGAAACTGGACAACAAAGCTGTTGAGCTTATGATAAGAATCCTTGGTAGAGAATCGAAATATTCAACTGCACTTAAACTGTTCGACGAAATTCCCATTGACAAATACTCGCTCGATGTTAGAGCTTGTACCACCATTCTTCACGCTTATTCTCGCAATGGCAAGTATAAGCAAGCCATTGCCATGTTTGAGAGAATGAAGGAATGTGGCCTTTCTCCAAGTTTGGTTACTTACAATGTCATGCTTGATGTTTATGGGAAAATGGGTCGCTCTTGGGATAAGATTTTAGGCTTATTGGATGAAATGAGGAGTGAAGGTTTGGAATTTGATGAATTCACCTGTAGTACTGTGATTTCTGCTTGTGGAAGAGAGGGTCTAAYTAATGAAGCTAAAGAATTTTTTGTTGGATTGAAGTCAAGTGGTTATGAGCCAGGAACTGTCACTTACAATGCTCTACTTCAAGTGTTTGGAAAAGCCGGGATCTACTCAGAGGCTTTGAACATCTTGAAAGAAATGAAGGATAATAATTGCACCCCAGACTCTGTTACTTACAATGAGCTTGTAGCAGCCTATGTTCGGGCTGGATTCTACGAGGAAGGAGCTGCTGTCATTGACACGATGACATGCAAGGGTGTGATGCCAAATGCTGTGACTTATACTACTGTTATAAATGCCTATGGTAGGGCGGGGAAGGAGGTCAAAGCGTTACAGTTATTTAACCAAATGAAGAAATCAGGATGTGTTCCTAACGTGTGCACTTACAATTCTATTCTTGCGTTACTGGGAAAGAAATCGCGACCAGAGGAAATGATAAAGATACTTAGTGATATGAGAATAAATGGATGTTCTCCGAACCGGATAACATGGAACACTATGCTTGCCATGTGTGGTGATAAGGGGAAACACAAGTTTGTAAACCATGTTTTTAGGGAGATGAAAAATTGTGGCTTTGAACCGGGTAGAGACACATTTAACACTTTGATTAGTGCATATGGCCGTTGTGGGTCGGAGATTGATGCTGCAAAGATGTATGATGAGATGATTAAAGCTGGATTCACACCATGCGTGACGACTTACAATGCACTTCTGAATGCCTTAGCTCGGCGAGGGGATTGGAAAGGAGCGGAATCTGTCTTACTAGATATGAGGAACAAGGGATTCAAACCTAATGAAACCTCATTCTCATTGATGCTCCATTGCTATGCAAAAGGAGGGAATGTGAGAGGATTGGAGAGGATTGAGAAAGACATTTATGATGGTCATATCTTCCCCAGCTGGGTTCTTTTGAGAACCCTGATTCTTGCAAATTTCAAGTGCAGAGCTGTTAGAGGAATGGAAAGGGCATTTGAGGAATTGATGAAGAATGGCTACAAACCTGATTTGGTTATATTCAACTCCATGCTATCAATTTTCGCTAAAAATAACATGTACGARAGGGCCCACGAGATGTTGCACTTGATTCGTGAGGGCGGACTGCAGCCAGATCTGGTCACCTACAATAACTTAATGAATATGTATGCAAGAAGAGGAGAGTGCTGGAAAGCAGAAGAGATCCTCAATGGGCTGATAAAATCTGGTGAAAAACCGGATCTCGTGTCGTACAACACCATAATTAAAGGCTTCTGCAAACAAGGGCTAATGCAAGAAGCTATAAGAATTATGTCCGCAATGACAGCTCGGGAGATTCGCCCTTGCATATTCACCTATAACACCTTCGTATCGGGCTATGCAGGACGCGGAATGTTTGCAGAGGTAGATGAAGTCATTAGTTACATGATTCAGAACAATTGCAGACCCAATGAACTTACCTACAAGATTGTGGTGGATGGCTATTGTAAGGCAAGAAAATACCAAGAGGCTATGGATTTCGTGTTCGGGATCAAGAACATCGATCATTTGTTTGATTATCATTCCACACAAAGACTAGCTTCCCATATAAGGGAGATGATGAGTTCTTGATCTCTCTAGGTATTCCTGCTGGTTCTTTCTTTGTTCATTTATAGGGAAGTACAGGTAGATATATAATAACCATTACAAAACATTCAACACCTTACCAGTTGATTTGTAATTCATTTCTGGACAGTGTCTTGGTGGTTATGGTAGAAGAATATATGAGTTATTGTGATTCATCGTTGCAAGTTTTGCAGCAGTTTTAATTTTGTTGTTTCTAAAATTTCTACATAATTTTAAAAACGTTTCCGGAAAATGAAAAACATAAAACAGAACAAGTTATTAAACACTTACGTTTCTCAAACTTGAAAATGAAAAACAAGAAACAACCCTTTAGTTTCAAGGATATCCTTTACCTCTGAACATAAATTATGGTGGTTGAAATTTGCTGGTAAATAAGAAGTATTTGTTACCATAAAGTTTCTAGATTTACACACTCCACGACCTTACCTCGAATTGGAAGGCGTTCTTGTAACTTATCCTCGTAACCTTTTGTATATTTCATATCTCAATGAAATTCTCGTATGAGTCATAATAAAAAAATCATAAAAAGAATACATGTAGGACTCACAATTAAAATGTCGGGATTTTGTATCAATTTTAATTATATTTTGGTTTCTAAATACTTTGTATCTTTAAATAAATCCATTTAAAATCAGTCTCCATTAATTAAGCGTATGCTTGTATGACGTATTTAATAAGCCATCCAGACAAATATCTCTCTCATATGAAATTTATGTCATCTATGACCAACTTATTATTTTTCACAAAAATACTGAATCTTAGCTCTTAAACATCTCCCAATATTTTGATTTCAACAGCTTCTCCATTATTTCTTGAGATTATGCAATTCTTATTTTTAGATTATGCTTTTTACTAAATATATTGCTTTAGATACCATGTATTTAGGTTTTAGTTTCCAAATAAACAGTGAGTAATGGAGAAAATTAAGGGAGGGTTGAGGGCTGCAAGATAACTTCCACCAAAAATTTGACTGACATTAAGACATCAACCATTTCCTTAATTCACATCGAACCATTTTCGGAGCCCGAAAATAAGTACATTGGTGAGGAAAAGATGACAATAGATAAAACAACCAACAAAACTAGAAAAATGAACCGTATATAATAGCAGTACATAAAATAATCAATAAATACGTTGTACATCAACTAAGGGAATAGGGTAAACAGAAAAATGAAATGTGTGAAAAGTCATAAGGTATTATTAAAGCCAATAATTAGGGATCGATTAATTACATCATATATTATCAAAGATTCTTAGTAACTAATTGTTTACTAAAAAGTTAGAAGCAGTAAAAAAATAATAGTAAAGTAAGTTATATTAAATATGCCATAAATATGTTGAAAATGAAAGCAAGAAAAACAAACGGAACAAAAAATTACAATTACACATACCTACTAAATCCAAATTTAGAAAACAAATTTAAATACCAAATCTTAAATTAAAAAGAAAAATCTAAAATCACACGTAAGGTTAAATCTTAAATCAGAAATATAAATCTTAAATTAAAAACAGAAACCAACAAAACTAGTATTGAAAACATAATAAAGTGAAAAAATTAATGAAAATTCTAAAAAAAGAACAACTAATAAATAAATTATTAACATTTCCTTTGCAAATAATAATGATGATGATGATAATGAAAATAATTTTTAATGTTAGTTGTATTATTAAACATATAATGTATGTTCAAAAATTTGAAAATCAATACAAAAAATGGGAAACTAATCTGAAAAGAAATCAAATCGATTGAAGATCTAAATAATAAAAATATAGAAGGAACGAAACTATATATCTAAAAATAAGTACAAACTAATTAGAAACTATCTTGTATTCCTAGTTGAAGTTATTTTCAAAATTAATTATTATTATTTTATTCGAGTACAACATGTAGAATAGAAATTCAAACTCACAACCTCTAAATTAAAAATAAATGTTTTAACCAATCGAACTGGGCTCAAGATAATTTAAAAATAATTATATTACAGCAACAAAGAAATGAGGATCAATAACCAACCAAAAAATTTAGGTAACTATATTCACCAGTGTAAATATGTTCAATCCTTCGAATTTCTCAAAGGTAAAAAGCCAAATTTCTTGTCTTTTTATGAAATGGGCCTTGGGCCTTGGGCCAGAATAGACTATATTTGACTCTTCCCCTCAAGTTGGGCCGTAAGTTTCAATGAAACCCAAATTGTCTTTCAAATCATCAAATGTGTAGTTAGTTACGCAACGTTTTAATCGTCTCAAATTGATGAACTAAAATAAAGAAGATGGCAACGTGACCCTAACTTAATTTATTAACGCAAATATCTCCGATAAAAAATTATAAGTTCGAATTTCCAATCTTACTTGTTGTACATAAAAAAAATAACTAATATAATTTAAAAATGATAAAATTAACGATTTGCGAAACAAAGCGTAGTTCGAGGAGTTAAAATATCATCTCCAATTAAAAAGTTCTTTGTCGAATCTTCGCATGAATGGTGCACATGTCTGTGATATAAATTCAGCAATTCACCAACTATGAGGCCTCACGAAGTTGGCGATGGACCATCTATAGACATTTACATTTGTGGAGGTAAATCTATTTTCCAATTCTGCTTTAATTTTTTTGTTTTGTTTTGCGTTGTTATATTTATTATAAAAAAACATTAAATTTTCCCATAACTATTTTGTTGTTATAATTGATCAAAGTCAACTTGATTTCTTTTTAGAAGGGAAAATAAAATAGCGGAGATAAATTTGATTTGGTTGTTACCATCTAAACAAGTAATAGCTAACCATCTAAACAACGTACCTTATATTTCATTTTGAAAGAAAACATATTGTCGACAATAATACAATGCAAACCAAGATTTGAATCGCGACATCCACAAAAATATTGAGGTCTAAATTTTATGAAAATATCTTGATGTTTTATAAAAATAAACCTTCACAACAAATATCTAAATTAACAAATAAAAATTTCACACTTTCTAAATAAATGAGAAATTGTTAATATTAATATTATGTCTCTATTAGTGTTAGTATGTTGTTGATTTTTTTWAATTTTATTTTCAGATAGGTGTCAACACTCAGGGCCTCTTACCAATGGGCCAACACTCTAGCGTGCTTATTTTGTTGATTTCTTTGTGATATTATAACAATGTCCAAAAAACTTAATACATGATGCAAACTAAGAACGTTCCAATAATATAATTATTGCTATTACTAACCTGCTTAAAAAGTATTTATTTTAGTTAAAAATTACGGGAGTAAATAATCGAACTATTAATTGATATTTGTGATAGTAATATGTGTCCGATCCATTAGGAACCTTTTTAAAGGTCAAAGGTTCAAATTCCACCCGATACATATATTTCGAAACGAGGGTAAGTATGTATTTTTGCATAAATTACTTAAAAAAGTATGTAGGGAGGGCCAAATTTGGGGCGATTTTTTTGTCACACATGTGACATGTGAGGGGTGGCACTGAAGCAAGAGGACCCCAATTCCAGAGTTAGGAAAATGAAAGCAGGAAGAAAATGGTGGAAGAAAATGAGATGCCTTTTTTTYATTTTGCTCAAAAGAGTTAGCGTAGACCCAAAGCTCAATCAAGGCCGACCGGACCAGAGCCACGCTTCAAACCCCACACAGTAAAATCCACAATTTCATAAAGCCAAAAGGGCCACTCCTTCCCTTTAAGCCTTAACCACCCAGTTTTCTCATTCCCCCTCAAGATTTTTCTCCATCAGAGGGCGGTGGTGAGCGAACACGAAACCAAGTTTTATTAACCCCGTCAAACCCATAATTTCTTTCTCTATCTTCTCTTTTTTTTCCTCTCACACGGCCAAATTGTTAGCTAATTTGCCGAACCCTTTCAGCCACTCGTTCTATCTTCCTCTTCTCAACCGTCTCAAGTCTCAACCTTCTTCAATTTCGGATTTCGAGCGTTCCCACCGTCTTAATTTGTGCTAAAATCCTGTCTTTTGGCCTCTGATCGTCGGAATATCTTCTGGGTTTTGTTCCTAATTGGAAATCCGTAAATGGGTTGAAGAGAATATTCGGGCTTTTGGGAGAAAGGATAATGGAGTGGGACAGCAATTCGGATCTGAGCGGAGACGAGGAGGAGGAGGGCTTCCTACTCAACGATGGCGGGCCTCTTCCTTTCCCAGTTGAGAACTTGTTCCAAACTGCGCCATGTGGGTTTGTCGTCACCGATTCTCTGGAACCCGACCATCCCATCATTTATGTCAACACCGTCTTCGAAATGGTTACTGGATATCGAGCGGAGGAGGTGCTTGGTCGCAATTGGTCAGTTTATTGTTAAGTAGTTGTACTATATTGATTCATTCAGTATATTTCTTAATTATGGGGGCTTATTTAGGGGTTGAATGAGTTTTTTATCTTCCTTCTTGTGGGTGGGGGTATTTTGGTTGGTTGGGGACGGGTTGGCATTTGTTTTGGATGTTTCCTGTAGTTGTATATTGTGGTTGCTTGGCCAGATAGGAAGTATTGGGCCAAGTTATCCCTCAATTGGTCTTCTGGCATAAATTGGCCAGTTAGCTTAGTGTTGGATGGATTGGCAAGTTTTTGGTCTGTTTTTATAGCTGATGGGGTAGGTTGCTGGAAACCGTGGTATATTCTCTGGAAAGTATGATTATTATTTGTCAACTTCCGACTTCTCTGCATTCATTTAGAGGGATAATTTAGCTGTGCCATGGTTTTCTGCAATTGGTTGGAGTTTGAACAATTCTACTCATACAAGTCTCCACAACGGTCTTTCTCTACATGAAATGAAATATTTCATAAAGATGGATGTACTACTACGATAGGGTAGATCAACAATCTTGTGCTTACGTAAATGAACACTTATTTACAAGTAGAGTAGAAAGCGGAACTACAATAAATAAAAGGCTTTCCGACAACAATGGATGTTTTGTTCTCAAACCATGAAGTGGTTGACTCTAAAGGGAGCAATGAAATTAGTACAAGTGTCTTAAGACATCATCCCGTGCCTTTCCATCCACATTCTGCAATTTAGAGCCATATTAATAATCTTCAACTAAGGTTGCTATTTCTCCATGATCAATGGTCCCTTATAATGTATATAAAGTTGGCTCTACTATCACTTTCTATTTTCTGTGATGTACAAGAATGACCCTGTTGCTCTTATGTTCTCTTATCTTCATTTTAGCGAGGAAATCTCGTCTGTCCCCTTATTTTGTGATCAAGGGTTTCCATTTTCTCTATTGAYTTGATGGAGGATGTGGACAATTGGTGCTTTTCAAAATTTTGTTCTTCTCTTGTAATCACCTTCTTCTACCCCCAACTATATGGCAGACCAAATATAAAAGGAAGTCAAATGGTTTGTGCAGACAGTGAGAAACATATTATAGTGAGTTTTTTGAGGCTAAACCTTTTTATATTCACTAAAATTATGTTAGGCTCACTGTTAAAGTTTAGAAGACGTGCTTTGATTTTGAGTTGTTGAGAAGCACCATCCATAGAATTTTGTATCATGGCACTATTCTTGGAATTAAGGATTAGGCTTATTGTTATAGTTGGGAAAAAATGTGGGAGATATTTGGCTGCTTTTGAGGCTGTAAAAGATGATTTTTAGGATTCTTATGATTAGGATAAGTGACATTTTGGTTGGAAAATAATAAGTGTTTTGAAGATCTAGTGTATATGCCCTTAGATTAGAAGGATGGACTGTATTTGTCTTGCCTAGTTCTAGATCTTCAATACTTTGAAGTTTGTTGGAAAATTAGTTTGTAAAATGGATTACTTAAAAAGCGGCAGAACCCCAAATGTAAGGTAAAGGAATTACAATAAAGACACTTCAATTGATGTAATTGTAATAGTAGATTATAAAAAATATTTGGATAAAATGGATGAAGTTGAGTCTTCAATGATTGGTTATTGAATTTCAAAGAGACCAGGCTTGGCTAGCTAGATTGAAATCTCATCAATCACTTCTTGGGTGAGAAGATGATTATTCATGAGTAGGAATTTGTTGGAGTTAAGTCACAAAGGAGTAAGATTTCTAGTAAAGAAAAGTTAGTTGGTTTGATTTAAAATGGAGATGAAAATTCAGCCTCTTATCATAGGTAATTAAGTATAATTAGCATTCAAGAGTTCTGTCAAAAGCTTTGGGCAATACGGTTTCAAGTTTCAGCGTTGAAGACGAAATTCTTCATACAGTTTTGGTTCTTCTCAAGGATGATATCATGCAAGTATTGTAAGGAATTCCTTGTGAATGGTATTTTAAATTCATTCCTTAAAAGTAGAACTTCATTTTCCTTATCAAGAAGAAAGTAAAAGTGAAGAAGTGAGGAAATTTTGATCAATCAGACTGGTTACTAGTATATACGAAATCATTGCAAATGTTTTAGTTGAAAGGGTAATGGATGTGCTGCATTCTACAATTTTGTCCTACATAAATGCTTCCATAGAGGGGAGACAAATCCTTGATACTATACATATAGCAAATGAAAACAGCAGATGATTATTGAAAGAAGAGGAAAGGGGACTGGCAAGGAAAAAGATTGATTTTGAGAAAGCATATTGTATGGCTGATTGCGAGTCTGCGACTTCCGTTGGAGGTTTTGGGTTGACATGGATTGAATGGAATAATGAGTGCATTTCAAATTAAAAATTTTCTATTCTTTCAATGCTAGTTCGTGGGGTGGATGAAGGAGATGAAAGGGTTCCTACAAGGTGATCTACTTTCTCCTAGTCTTTTTTTAATGGTTGGCAACATTTTAAGTGGAGTGATTGAACATCACATTCAAAGGGGGGTTCTTGGAAGGGTTTATGATCAGAAGGAATTTGGTACGTATCTCACATATTCAATTTTCAGATGATACTTTACTTTGTTGTAAAGATGATATGATGAAAAGTTTGGAAATTTGATTAAGGCTCTAAAGATATTTGAGTTAGTCTCAGGTCTTAAGATAAATTGTGAAAAAATGCTACTTTTGTGGAATTAATATCTAGAAGATTTGGAAGTAAAGTGTGTGATTTGCCTCTTTCCTATTTGGCGATAGGCGATAGCCCAAGAAAGATTGATTTTTAAAAGCTTGATAGTGGAGAAAGTTCTGCATCAATTGGGTAAATGGAAGAGTATTGGTCTTTCTGAGGGGTAGGTTGGATGGTTCTTTATCAAGCACTTGTACTAGCTAATTTACCAACCTATTTCATGTCAATGTTTCCTATGCCAGACATAGTGGCAATCGATGTGGAAAGAGAGATGAGAAACTTCATTTGGGATGGGTCATCAGATGGTAATCTTTGCTGCCTTTTGAATCAGAGGGTGATAAATTGGGGATTGGTAGTTTGAAAAGAAGGAATGAAACTCTTATGGCAAAGTAGGCATGGTGGTACTTCAATGAAACTAATCAAGTTTGGCATAAGGTGATAACTAGTTTATTCAGGCTAATGGAGGAGTGGTTCACTTGAGAGAGAAGAAGAGGAAGGTACCTTGGTGGAATATTTCCCAAACAAAAAAACTGTTTTAGAACATTCTGGAACCAAATTGGGAAATGGCAAGCAGTCAGCGGATCAAATTTCAAGAGGATGTGTGTTTGGATATTCAACCATTTGCTGTAAAATTTTAAAATCTTCACAATCGTGGAAAAAAGGGGAAATGTGCTTTTGATTTTTGGCATGATTTTAAAGAGTTTGCGTATGCTGACTGAGAGAAATATGGAGGAGATTGGATTCAAGAAATTGTTTGATCTAAAGCTATTGGAAATTAATCATGTTGCACTTGGTAGAGATGAGAGGACTTTGGAATTTTCATATTTTGGGCCTCTTTATAGTCAAATCCTAGTTTTATCATTTAACAATTGGTGGACATTGTTTGGATTTAGATTTCTCCAAGGAAATTTGGAATGGGAAGTGCCCTAAAAGAGTTACTGTTTTTGTTTGGTCAATTGGTCTTAGGAATTGCCCCATGTTGGCTCTGAATCTGTAAAGATGTTGTTGCTTTGAAGCTTGTGAAGATTTGAATCATCTAATTCCCTTATAGAATGGAGGTATGGTATTATTTTCTACAAATATTTGGATTGTCATGGAATTTTCAATATGTATTTGTGGTCACTCATTCAGTTTGAAAGGAAAGAACTTTGGAAAAATACCGTGAAATTGATTCTTTGGTGTATTTAGAAGGAAGGGAACCATTGTAATTTTCAATGGGCAGTATGCTTTGGTGACGGGTGTAGTGCTCTCTGATGCAACCATCCTAAGGATTTAATGGAAGGTTGAGAAAGTGGATTCAAGGATGCCTTGTGTTCACAAAACTTTTCATTATTGTTAGTGGGAAGCCTAGAGGGAAGTTAAAGATACTGGAGGATTGAGACAAGGCAATATTCCCTTCTTATCAGTTAATGTAATTGATTGCTTAGATTGTTGACTTACAGCCCAATGCACAAACTATGCTGATGGTTTTAGCACTGGAATGGAAAAATATTGTTGTGCCCTCCAATTAGTGGTAATGAGCTTCTACTAATTTTTTTCAACAAGTCAACTGTAACTTGTTTGTAGTTATCAACAAGCTTGCAGATTTTGACTGTATAAATTAGTGACCATGTATATTGGAATCCTACAAGGAGATCTAGTGAAGGTGGTTAAAAGCTTTTCTGGTGCAGTGATACAGTGAATGGTTGGCTTATCAATGTTGGCCTTCCATTGGGGGAAAATTTCAGGAGTCAATGCTTTGGCGTCCTAGGTAAAAAAAATTCATTTGAAGTTGCAATAATGGAAGTTGTTAATATTTGAGAAGGGGTTATTAGACTTACATTGATTCAACTGGTGGTAGTGAATTTGCTTTCCTACTTTCATTTATTCCCCAGAGCTATAAAGAGTATTGTGAAGTTGGTCGATAAAACATCTTAAGGATTTCTTTGAAGACCTAAAGCTTGAAGGGGCTTGCCATTTCCTTAATTGGAGAAGGTGGCTCATTCATTGGATAAAGGAGGTCTTGGCTTTCGTAATACTCTAGAAGTATCAAAACCGCTGTGGAGATTTTCCCTTGAACAAATGATTTCTTGGACAAGGTAAGTAAGTATGGTACTGAACCTTGTGGATGGAGTTCTCTGATGACTAATTACCTCAGAGCCCTTGGGTGCAGATTTAGATAATGGTACAATTGGCTTGGTAATTTAAATAAATTTGTGGTCAAAGAAGCTGGCTGGTAAGATTCTGGGCTGATCTTTGGTTGGCAGAGTCCTTTCTAGCTTGCATCTTCCTTGTACCTTTTGAGATTCAAACAGGACAGAACATCAATGCTGGTACGGCGTAGTGTTAAGGGGAGGTCTAAGAATTTTTATGCAGAATAGTTATTGTGAACTGTCGTGTAGAGTAAAAAGAAACATATTTTCATTGATATATATTCGTCTGAAGTAGACAAGAGAGTTTGGAGATAGTTCTGGTTGTTTTCTACAAAATCCAGGACACTTGATTGATGCTGAGGATCATTTCTCAAGTAGATATTATTGGAAAAAGAAAGTTAAAGCTCTTTCTTTAGTCTTTTTATCTTGGTGGAATTAGATCCAACTATAAAATCTGCAATGGAATCCTATACAATCTCTCACACCAAGTTGGTGAGTGCTATGCAAAAGCTCTTTTGCAGACTCAGTTCGCTTTTACAAGGAATGCCTTTACTCTTCTCAAATCTAGCAGGATCTTTATTGTCCATGTCATCTCAAAAATTTTCTCCCTTATTTATCTTTACAAAGAGTAGCTCCTCATAGCTCCTGTATCTTTTCAATGAAATATTTGTTTCTCTTCTTGAAATAGGTCAAATGTTTGTTCAATGAGATCAGATGGTCATTGGTGTTAATTTGTTTGAGCACCCTTAGTTAAAAGAACAACTAGGGAAAGGGAAGAGTAGGAAATTCTTCTTGGGATGAAGTCACAAGAACCAATCCTACGATGAGCCATTTCTAAAGCATAGGAGTTTGATTGTCACTTTGTTTGTTGTGGAAATATTATGATAAAATTATTTGATGCTCAAAGGTTTTGGATTTCTTCGACAGTAACAATTCCATTAAATAGGAGAAATACCAGGTATTCTCCTGGTAGAAAGGGTGGAGATCATAAGAAACGTCTTGGTCTGATGTGGCTTTATTAGAAAAGGAAGGGCAATTTTACATTTTTTGGGGAAGGTGCACCCTTTCTAAGGCAACAAATAGTTAGTTCATGTGAGGTCTAGCTTTTGTATGTTTTTTATACTTCACTATCAACTCTCTTAAGCAGCTCCTCAACTTTTGGAGAATCCTCAGGCATACGCCGGTTCTAGGATAACATTCCAACAATGGAAGAGGATTTTTTCATAAATAAAAGAGACATATTTTTCATTAAATTTGAAAAGTTACAAGTTGTCAACTTTATATGACAAACATAATAAAGAAAAAGGACCTTCCCAGCTCTAATTGACATTGTTATGGCCTTGAAATTACATGATAATGTTCTTTCTCTGGTAAAAGCTTAACAATAGAGCCCCTGAAAAATTAAAACAGTGCAAACTTACCAAATATTCTCAGTTAGGGATAGTTACGTCTCTAAGGGTCAGTTGTTTGAATTCTCTTGATAATCCTCTCCCACAAGACTGCTGACCACAGGAAAAATATTATCTTCTTTGGTCCTAAGATCTGGGGCTGCTCTGAAAAAACCGAAGGGGGGTTTGCTAAAGAAGGGTCCTTACTTGTCTATCCTTGATCCCAAAGCTTGTCTTGGTAGAAGTATGGCCCAGCCTCTCTGAAAAAACCATCCCATCCGTTATTCTACTTCCTAGTCTGGGAATGGTTTTCTAATGTTCCAAATCCAGGATCCTTTATTCCATCACTCTTCTATTGGGTTCTTTTTGAAAGAACTGCCTGGTTTAAGTTTATGAAATACTAGCTAAAGGGAAAATCTTCTATCTATTTATTTTCCCAAAAAGGCAAAAACTAATAGAAGCACCCTCTCACACCTTCACCAGATTTCTGTCCTTTATGATAGAATTCTAAGGGCTATTGTGAAGACAACTGAAAAAATCCATTTTAGATCAATATTTGATCTGGAATAAGAATTGATAAATAATGTACTCAATATCAATATAGAATAATTGCAAAACAAGCTAATAATTAAAGGTATTCTGTTCACAAAAGTGTCAAAAGGGATGGTATGATCTTTCTATAAAAAGCTTGGGGAAAGAGAAGGATAATCATGAGCAGTCATGAACAGCAGGAGTACAACTTTGGTTTGATTGACTGATGCCTCTCGTTACTAGAAGGATACATAAGTCATTATTATACTTACATTATTGGTACATTGCTAAATGGAAATCTTAGGATAGAGATTGATACTCAATTGATGAGCTTTTGTGTCCGTGCTTCATTGAGTGTAAGCACTGTTCAATACAATGGCTACCCAAACATGTTTCTTTAAAATCTCAATTCTTGCATTGGATGGATATTTTAAATCAATAGTATTGTCGCTGACTGAATTATGTCCTGCTTTGTATAAGCAACATTATTTTACAGTACATTTGATGATTGATTGATCTGATGTATCTATAGACTGTAGACAACTTATGTTGAGTTGTGAAAGTTTATCTAATTCTGTATGTAAGAATTGGGAATGCTTGTACCACTCTTATAAGTTGTATTTAGGAGCCTTTTAAATGCAATCCTGATGCTCGACATAGTAAAAGGATAAGATTACTGGAGTTAGATGATTTGCATAGTACATGATTTCCCTAATGCCATGATGCTTAGCTTCTCTAATGTGTATGTACCTTCTCTCTCTTTCTCTGCCAGTGCAGGATCATGCTAGCTTATCGTTTCTCTTCACGTTGATCTTTTTAATTCATATATATTAGATATTTGATTATCAACATATTGTGGGTCTTCTCGCAGTCGATTCTTGCAATATAGAGGTCCATTTTCAAAAAGAAGACACCCACTGGTGGACTCTTCAGTGGTTTCAGAGATCAGAAGATGTCTAGAGGACGGCACTGAATTTCAAGGCGAATTGTTGAACTTTAGGAAAGATGGAACCCCATTGATGAATAAATTGAGGTTAACACCTATCTATGGAGATGATGAAACGGTAACTCATGTTATTGGTATCCAGTTCTTCACTGAAGCAGATATTGATTTGGGACCAGTGACCAGTTCTACAACAAAGGAGTTAGCTAAATCATCTGATAAGTTTCGTTCTGGCCTTTCATCTTTTCGCTTCACATCTGTTGGGGACCGAAATATTTGTCGAGGTGTATGTGGTATTCTCCAATTAAGTGATGAGGTGATATCTTTGAAAATACTCTCACGGTTGACACCCAGAGACATTGCATCAGTGGGATCCGTCTGTAGGCGGTTTTATGAGCTGACAAAGAATGAGGATCTCTGGAGAATGGTATGTCAAAATGCTTGGGGTAGCGAAACAACACGTGTTCTAGAGACTGTACCTGGTGCAAAAACCCTTGGCTGGGGCCGGTTAGCCAGAGAATTGACAACTCTGGAAGCTTCTGCCTGGAGGAAGCTGACTGTTCGGGGATCGGTTGAACCCTCAAGATGCAACTTTAGTGCTTGTGCAGTTGGTAATAGAGTTGTACTATTTGGTGGGGAAGGTGTTAATATGCAACCAATGAATGATACCTTTGTACTGGATTTAAATTCTAGTAACCCAGAGTGGCAGCATGTTCAAGTTAGTTCTCCACCTCCTGGTAGATGGGGTCATACTCTTACTTGTGTAAATGGTTCTCATTTAGTGGTTTTTGGAGGCTGTGGAACACAGGGCCTGCTTAATGATGTTTTCTTGTTGGATTTGGATGCGAATCCTCCTACCTGGCGTGAAATATCTGGATTGGCTCCTCCGCTCCCGAGATCATGGCATAGCTCCTGCACTCTCGACGGTACCAAGTTGATAGTCTCTGGTGGTTGTGCAGATTCTGGAGTACTTCTTAGTGACACTTTTCTGCTTGATCTCTCAATGGAGAAACCCATATGGAGGGAGATACCTGTATCTTGGACTCCTCCATCTCGGTTGGGGCACACATTATCTGTATATGGTGGTCGGAAGATTTTGATGTTTGGGGGTTTAGCCAAAAGCGGACCTCTTCGGTTTCGATCAAGTGACGTCTTCACAATGGATTTAAGTGAGGAGGAACCATGTTGGAGATGCGTGACAGGGAGCGGAGTGCCTGGTGCTGGAAACCCTGGAGGGGTAGCACCTCCACCTAGACTGGACCATGTTGCTGTGAGCCTCCCAGGTGGCAGAATATTGATCTTTGGCGGGTCAGTTGCTGGTCTTCACTCTGCATCACAGCTTTATCTCCTGGATCCAACAGAGGAGAAACCGACTTGGAGGATATTAAAAGTACCTGGGCGGCCTCCGAGGTTCGCATGGGGACACAGCACTTGTGTCGTCGGGGGAACGAGGGCTATAGTCCTTGGTGGTCAAACTGGAGAGGAGTGGATGCTAAGTGAGATTCATGAACTATCATTGGCCAGTGCTGTCATCTGATTGAAGAGAGAGTGAGTGTAGAATCATGAAGGAAGCAAGCTATTGTGGAAGACAAACAAAAACACTTGAAAGAGAGCCATGAATTGCAAGCCTGTGGGATCTTTATGAGACTGGTGTTGGCAGAAATGTTGTTGCTCTGGTCAGGACTCTATATTAGATGTTTGTTCCAAAAAGTGTAAGGAATTGTTCTGACTCAGAATAAAAACTTTAAATTCAGTTTCAAACGAGTGACGCCCGATACCCGGTTCTTGTGTTCTCTGTGAAGTGGTGGGTTTAGCAAGAATCTTTTCTTCTGTAGTATATTCTTCTTCTTCCATAGTAGTAGGGGTTAGATTACCTTGATAGACAGATAGGTTTAAGGATATCTATATAAGTAGGCCTATTCTTATTACTATAAGAATATTTTGCTCTAATTCAAGATTCTATATAGGATTTGGAACAAAAGGGAGTGAGTCCATGTCTGTCTGTAATAACTTTCTGCTCAGGTTGGCCATCTATTCATGACCTCAAGAAGATGTGAAATACAAGGCATCATTATTGCTGCTGCTTGAGAGCCAAGCCACTGAAGGAAGAAGATGTAGTAGTAGAAGAAGGCATCATCAGAAAACCTTCCTTCTCTTTTCTGTAAAAGTAACACTTGCTCTGCATTTATCCTTTATTTATATATTTTGCTATCTTTGGTTGGCTTTGTAGCTCAAGTTTTCCTGATTTATCTGCTTGGCTTTACTCTTCTTTTTAACCAAGTTTAGCAGTTGCTCCCTCTCTAATGGAGATTTCATATCATCCAGCTCAACACAACTTTTTTACCAAAAGTTTGTTTGTTTGTTTGTTTTAATTCTGTATTCAATTGGATGGGTCAATTTTCATGTCGATTTCATTCAACAGGAATATTGAAGTTTGATAAAGAATCGTAGTAATCTTGTTTTCAGAAATCAAAATAGCTATTCGTTAAATGACCACAACGGTAAGGCCCCTCAAGTCAAAGAGTAAGAACTTGTTTTCGAGACCCTTCTATTACAATAAAGGTAGATTGGAGATTTTTTTTTTGCCTTCCCAAGTCCATGATATGAAAACAATTCTTCGGGGTCGGGCGTAGCGCGTTAACCAAGTGCGCCTAAAATCTTATGATGATCCCTTGCAAAGTTGGATTTGGTGTGAGAGTCTATGTTTTAGGAACAGGTTCAGGCCTCATAGCTTAAGGTGGATCAGATCTTAGATACTTACCCCATTTCATCAAGTGGTCTTTGCCTCGTCCTGAGATGAGAGGGAAGGTCGATTTGATTTTAATATTGAAAATTGTTTCGAGTCACAATCACATCTAGATTTGGTGTCGGTTAATACCTATACTCATCAAAGTTGACTATTGGATCTATTTAGTTTTTTAATTTTAAAAAGTTTTACATTCTTGAGTTTTGAATTGTGATTATGTACAGTTTTTACTATTAATACCGTTAATTTTGTGACGATGGTTTATTAGTTAAGTACTTATTGTTTTGATGAGATATGGTGGCTAAATAAATAAAGTTACACATGTATCATAATCTTTTGAAGCAATGTTACTTAATTTCTTTATAGGCCCTATTCATTTTATTGTCGAGTTGTTCATTCTTTTTGTTATTTATTTATTTATTATGACGTGCTAAATTAGTCGGCATTTATTCAATATGTATGAGATATCATTATTTAATTATTGGTGTTAATTATGAGAGCTACAGACAGTCACAATTCAAAATTTAGGCACCGAACTGAAATTTCTTTTTGAAGTTTACAAATTTTACAATTTTAGATTTTTGGATTTAAAATTTTTTCCAAATGCCAAATTTATCTTTATTCRTGGTATTTATATTTATTATAATTCAACTTTTATTTAAATGCAAAAGATTAATATTTCAAATTTGATTTTGTAAACATTAAATTATTGTGGGACCTAAATCAATCATCATAATTTCCCAATTTACTCCTTAATATATTCTACTACTAAAGAATGAAATTTATTACAAAATATTCAATTATTCTCATAATTTCCAAATTTACTCTTTAATATATTCTACTCAATAATGAAATTTATTACAAAATATTTTTTCATTTCATTATAATTTTTGGCTAAATTTTAATAATATAGTCATTATAACATATAATTATATATATATATATATATGGAGATATAAACTATATCCAGCTACCTTCTCATTTATATGGAAATATAAATTATATCTGGCTATAAACTTCTAGTAAATGGAGTCCTGAACTAGCTGCTGCTTGTGAAGTATGGAAGGAGATCAATAACATACACTTAACAATGGTGATATAAACTATAGTCATTATAACATACACTTATATAAAGATATAACTTATATCTGGCTATAAGTATATACGACTATATCCCTATACAATTAACAAACAAAGCAAATAACCTACAAACCTTCCGGTCGGCGACTAGACAATGATTGGGATAAACGGAAGGCTCGAATGGTCTACGGACGGCCAGCGACAAAAAAGTAACCTCGGGATAAATGGACGGAAACAATGTACGAGCGACCGGAGACAAAGGAGAAGCTAGATGGATTGTTCCAGCAACGAAGAAGAATAGAGGCGGCGATCGGAAGCGAAGGAACGTAGAAGGTAGCCGGCGACGAAGGAATGGACGGAAACAGAACAACAAGAAGAAGAAAAGTTGGAGGGATGAGGTTCGAATTTTTTCAATAATGGAGGATTTTGGGGATTTGGTATTTTTTACTTTTGCAAGAGTCTAATTAGACAAGATTTAAGGGATTTAAAATGTAACCTCCAAATAACCAATTTTGGATATTAAAAATTAATTAATATTGAAGTGAGATACAAATAGATATACCAGTAAATTGATTGATGGGTACCATCTTAAATGAAATTGTTTCAAGACAAAAGTGTATTCATTTATGTAATTATAGTGTCTAAATAACCTTGCTAATCCCTTTTACTAATATTACAAAACAATTTGTTTGGGCAGCAGAACATTTTATATTTAAATAGAATATTTAATATCCTAAATGGAATTCATTATCTGAATGGATGACTTCTTTGTACTATCGGCCCATCCCATGATTAAAATAAGTCACTTTTGTACCAAATAAATACAAAAAAAAAAAAAGAGAGAGAGAACCATGATTTGAAGAAATCGATCTTCTCAAATTATTAACCAAATCCACCATGCTATATATTGAAAAGAAAGAATACATTCAATATTTACATGGTCACAATATGATGAATAGAAATGTTGAGTCTGAACTAAGAAATATTTTTGATGTCCAAAGAATGGCTCCCATCATACCTTTAAACAGCTGTGAATTCAAACTTCTTCATATCAGAAAAGCAAGAGACGGCAATCAGTGCCACAGCTTCATACAGAACCCGGGCGGAGTAGTTGTCGGTTTTTTGCTTGAAATGCTTTCGGAAAAAGTATCTATAAGTTGTTCTGCAAGCGATGCTGGATCATCAATAAAGGTGTCTACAAACACCTTCACAATCTTTACTTCTTGTTGGGATGCTCTCAGGCTGTACCAAGTGAGAAACTTCTGCCTGAAATTCTTTTCGATATGTCCCTCGCACTCTAACCACCGAATTACCTTCACGTAGTGCTCAAAATCCCGATCCGAGACACCATTTTCAGCACACTTGTCGTCCTGCCTTTCCCCAGTTCTCATCTTCGATGTGCCACCATCTTGGGGTTCCCCTCCTTTCCGAGTTCTGTTGTCAAGGTCCTTGCAGTTGGATTTCAGTCTCTCAGTCCTTCCAAGACTGTCCTTGAGTACTTCAAGCTTGCAGGGAGTAATAGGCAAGCCATCTTCGGAACAGCCAACGAATGGCTCGCATCCTGTCCCAGACCGAAGAAGGGCACTTAACTGATTATTGGTGTTGTGTTTCAGGCCAGGTGGTCCGTGCTTGTTTTCGAGCTTTGAAGCAATTGTTCCTGCAGCATTTTCCTCATCCAGAACAGAAACTGTACCTACAGGTGTCCCTTCTTCACCATTGTCACTGTGGTTACAAGCATCAGTTGATAAAATAGCAGAGGAAAGCATTTCGATGCCCTTCGAATGAGCGGTAGAGTTCTTTCCTACGGTTTGATTGCCATAGGGAAGAATGTCCGTAGTTTCATCTTCAACCGAGGAAGGATTAGAAAGGTTGCTACAGTTGGTTGCGTGGCTTTGGCTTCTCTCAATTTCTAAGCAGTCCGGGCTCTCTTCTACCTCACTGATTGTTGAGTACTGAACTTCAAACTTTCCCGACTCTCGAGTCCCCTCAACAGGCAATATTTTGAAATGATATTCAGTAGCAGGTAATAGTCCCGTCACAACAAACCTCGCCTTCGGTTGTAGAATACTTGTCGGTTCTGTTGGATAATCTGCATCATCTGCCTTACGATGCCATAAGGTGAAACCGACCCCATTTACAGAGGACCCATATTCACCACTCAAAACCAGAGTGAGGGATGTTGACCGAACATCTTCGAATCTAACCATGTTCGGGGGAATAAAATTTGAATCTGCAAAGCCAACAAACTAATCAGATGCTGACAGGAAGTGCTTAACAACGAGGTCCGGTGAGAATACAAAAAAACAATGCATTTACACTTGTTAGAAGAGCAATAAATTTGCAGCAGGAGAATGGAAAACCAATGAAGCATCGAGTTTTCTGTGAAAAAACGACATAAAAAACATACGCTACAGATTCACAGCAAATATGGTTAGAAAGATCCGCATAGTATGATTGTTACCTTGTATCTCAGGATTAGGCAAAAGATGCAAGGATTGGCTGGAGAGCATTGAGTCCAGTAACTCAATAGCGGAACCGCAGAGTTTCTGAACTTCGGGTCCCGATGAAAGCCTGTTTACAATACCTCGACCCATCTTCACAGGTACCCCAACTATTGGCCCCACTTCAGCTTCAAGCTTCGTCACTGCATCATTGACGATCTGATAAAGCATTTTATACTTTTCAGTTCCATAGAGAAGCTTCTGGCTCAAAGAGACACGGTAACAGAGTATATCGACCCTCCTTGTATCTTTTGCGTGAACTAGTTGTTTTCTGCAGCACCTGAAGAAAAGAGAAGAAAACAAATCAAATCTGTATCCATCTTTCTATGTACAGAAGACAAATGGCTACCCAAATTCCTTTCGTTTTTCATCATTCAAAAACAAAATGGAAACTCAAGGAGGCACTTATCGACAGAAACCAAAAGTTTACAAGAGTGCCTGTACTCATCTTGGGAATTATACATGCACCTGGGCATTTGTATTTCTTCACGTTAGAATTTAAAGAAAAAGTTTTGCCATTGCAAAAAGTTAAGAAAGCATTCAAGTTTTCTAATATGCAATATGCAGCCCGTCCCGAGACAACCTAATCACTGATCCCTTGTTGCTTGCTATCTTCGACGTAAAAACTACTGAATAAGACACAGTAATCAATATCAAACTATTAGGAAACATAGAGAACACATACCAACCGGGCTATTTATCAAGTTCATTTATTCAAGAAGAAAAAACGAGAATATACAACTAGATCAGTTCAGCTAAAGGAAGAAATTTTACTTGGAAAAAGATAATATTTTTAGAAGAATTGGGTTATACAGAAAAAGTTATATAATAAGGTTTTAACTATTTAAGGATATGTGGAACCAAAAGACCTTTTTTTTTTTTTTTTGAATTATAAGGGTAATTCTATAGCTGATCGTGCTGCTACAAAATATATATATATATATATATCTCTATCATTTAAAGAAGAGAAAATTACCCTAGCAAATCATTCAATTTCCCACAGGACACACAATAGAAGCTCCCATCAATTCCCATGCTACGTCTGCCAATCGAAATTCCCGATCTTTCATCTTTCAAAGCACACTCAAGATGGCATGACATGTTGCACGAATCGCCTTGAAATGGAGGCTCTGCACTGCAACTTATCCACAAGCTTGGATCCTTGTTGTCATCATACTGATGACAGATGCAGCACGAACACCTTCGACAAAATGCATCTTCTGGATTTAAAGTCGCTCGACAGGCCAAGTTTTTGCAGCTTGCTGTAGAACCAGAATCATTATGAGAACTACTCATTGGGAGTTCGCTAGTGGGAATAGAAAGCTGAGATGGATGATCAGATTTCCTTTGCCTTTTGGCAGTTTTATGGCCAACTACAGGAGACTGCGGCTCAAGGTTTTTTGAAACCTCAGGCACCGATGACTTCTTTTCGGACACTAGTCTGAGAAGATGCTCTATTATTTTCTGCTTCGTCAATCCAGTGTATTTTCTTTCTTTTCCCATCTCTGCACACAGGACTTGTAGAATGTCTTGACGGCTCCATGACTGCAGCATCTCACATGCCCCGTGGGACTTCGAAATTTCATACACGAGTTCTCTCTTCTCTTGCATAGTCAGTTTACTACATTTTGACGAATCAAAAAGGGCACCTAGAATGCAGGATAATCAATATCCAACAAATGAAACAGGAACCAAATGATAACCAATTCGTTAACACTTTAACACTATTTCTGGCAAGCAAGAAAAGAAAACAACCAGATTTAGAGGCAAAAGGAACCAAAATCTTTTATGCATAGGATTAAAACATGCAAGTAAATTCAAAAGTTGATGTAAATTACAGGTTAAACTACCATCTTAATCTCTAAGGTTTGTGCTTAATTTAAATTTGGTACTTGTGATTCTAAAAGCTTTGCTTCGATTTAGTCTCTATGATCTGGTTAAATCTTAAACACATCTAAGTTATTATTGGACCAGATGTTAACAGTTTCACTTCCATGGTATATTTTCCTTAAACGTCACTCATCGTCTTTCTTTGCCATGTGGTCGAAGCAATAACTACACTCTCTTACTCAATATACTTAAGGACACCATGGAAGTTCAGGCCTCAGGGTATAAAAATAAAAGAAGCAGTTCTTGAAACTATGAAGCCAAGCCACAAAAACCAAAAACTTGGTTCAAATCTGACATCAGGGACACAAAAAATTCTACTTCTAACATAACTCCCATGCAAAAGACAGTCCTCCAATCCCTGAAAAGACTTAAATACAAGCCCACCAGTACTGTCAGAAACAAAAAATGGAACCAGACAAATACCAAAACAACATAGTACAGAACCCAGAAGAATTGAAATGAAAGAATTAGAACCACGAAACAGTATTTGCAGAGAGAGAGAGAGAAGAAAAAAGGTTACCATCAAAGGAAGAATCAGCAGCCATGGTGAAAGTACTCAGCCCTCCACATTACCACCAAAAGACCAACATCTTTGAAGCTGCCAAAAGGGAAAAGAAGTAAGAGGAGAAAAAATATATACAATCCCTGAAAAACAGAAGAGCAAAGAGAAAAGAAAACCGCAGAATTCAGAGAAGTAGAAGAAAATTAGGTATATTCGAGAGCGGAATCACAAGTACCAATAAAGGACACATTGTATTCCGCCACCATTAAAGATCCCATCATGAGGATTGAGGCTGAGGCTGTGATTGAGGGTTGAGAGAGCTCTCTCTCTCTAGCTCTTTTATGGGTCCTTTTTTTGTCTTTTCAGAAAGCCGAACCCAGAAGAGAGAGAGAGACGAAAAGAGAGAGATTTACAGTGAGGAAAGGGAAAAGAGCGCAAAAAGGAACAACCCACGAGAGAAGAGGAAAAGGGGGGACCGATTTGCTATAAAGAAATACAAAATTGAAGGTGGCGTTTGAAAATTTGCAAGATTCAGGAGTTGGGAAATGGGTAATGGAAAAATCCCAGTAGTTATCAGCTGAGTTCTCCTGAACCCATTTTCGATGCCATGTTTTAAGGCTCGGAGAATCAGTGGAGTGGACATAGCACCATGAAAGGCGTTATTTTGAGGTTTTTCGTTTGGGCACTGATTCATAATAACTGTATTTTATTAACCATGGATGACCTTAAACAGCAACAGACTRAGAGGGAATGACTTCATCACATACTTAATATTTAATATCTTATGAGTTTTTTTTATTAACCAAATGTAGTACGGTCACACAGTTAGTTTATAAATAGTTGAAGGACGTGTAAACTGTTCTGAACAACATGGATATCAAAAAGAAAAAGATAATTACATTTTATTATTATTTCTTTTTTAAGTAGAATAAAAATGAATAGATAGGACACTTTTTATCTTTTGAAAGGTCGATGACCCTACTACATTTGATTGTCAAGAAAATAATTTTTCAAAAGTCAAATGTTTATTGAACCAAATGACGGGGGTTGTATGTTCAAAGAGGCCGGTTCATTTATTAATTTCAAGTTATAAGAAAAGAATATTACAAAAAGAATGTAAAAGGTAAGTATGAAATTGTCTTTTAAGAAATGGGTTTAGTGTTCATATATGAACTTATTCTTCAAGAGACAGAGTTCTAACTAAAAACTCAAAGTTTCTTGTAATTTATTAGCCAAAGCTATCCTCTTATACATATATATTTATTGGTATATGTTGGTGTATTTTTATTATATTGTTTGGAAATGTTATTAGATAAGAGTTACATTCTCATTGATTGTTGCTTCTTTTGATTAAAATATTCTTTCCATTATAGATTACCATTTTGGTTGTCCTCTTTCATAATTGGAAGATTAATCTTTGTAGTAGAAACTATAAAAATAAAATCTACATGAGACAAGAGACAAGAGAGTCTATTTAAAGACAGAATAATATAAATTTGATATGATTTCTTTTTTCTATTTTTCTTTCCTCTCTTTTTCCTTCTTCGTTGTTGTTATTATTTATTTATTATTATTATTATTTTTGAAGAGATTCAAGATCCAACCCTACTTTTCAATTTATAACGAGTGGTATTAGAATGATACCCTAGATATAACCGTGTAGAGGAGATCCTAAAGTGCAAATGAGAGTGGCAAGTAGTCTTTAAGACGAGTCATGCGAAATTGTGGAAAAAAGCATCAAATGTCAAACAAAAAAGTTGTGAAGCTTAGTCATCTTAACTATGTTGTTGCATTATAGAAATTTATAAGCGTCTGATGGAAAAAAAAATTTACTAAGTGAATATTAATAAGGTGTTATAAAGAGTAATTAGTGGTAGTAGAGACTCTAAAGATGAACAATAGTCTTATTGTTGGAGATGCAAACATAGTCTCACATCAACTGTTAGTAAAGAAAAGTTAGATGTAGAAATACACAATATTAGCATAGTTAAAAAGGTTTTTTTTATGTGGTAGGAGATCAAACTCACAACCTCTTAGTTGAAAATATATGTCCTACCGCTGAGTTATACTTTCTTTGATAGGTACAAAGGTTTTTTAGTATAATAAAAAAACAAAACTATGCAAACTTAAGCTCAAAGTAGACAATATCGTTATTATTATGGATATAGAGAGAATCTCGTTGTCCAAACAAGTTGAATTTGAACTAAGTAGAAGTCATGATTTTCATGGCTAAGTCGATTAAGGCTCGRTTCGTAACATTCTCATTTCTCGTTTCTTTCTTGTTTTCATTTTTTGAAACATAAATATTTGATAACTGTTTTTATTTCTCGTTTCTCATTTTTAAAACACGTTTTCAAAATGAAGTATAAATTTAGAAGACAACAAAATCAAGTTTATTTGTTTCTGGTTCATATTTCTATTTTGTTGTTAAAAGGTAAATAAAAGYATTATTTTATCATCCTTGATTTATAAACTACATAGTAAATATAACATTAAAAAAACAAAAATGAATATTTAATTTTTAAATTTTAATTTTTTAAATTTAATTATAGAGAACAAAAATACAAGAAACGTGTGCCAAACAGGTTTCTATTTTCTTTTTCAATAAAAAAGAGGAACAGAAACCAAGAAACATCTACCCAGTACTATTATGTATTTATTTATTAAAAATCGCAAATGAGAAAGAAAAAAGAAAAATAAGAAATAAAACGTTATCGACCTTTTTTTAGTACAACAAATAGGATGGAGAGATTCAAACTCATTGACTTCTTTTTGTTWGAGACATGTACCAATTACGCTGAATTAAGTTCGTTGGAACCGAACACACCTTTAGATTTTCTAACTCCTCCAAAATTTCTTAGAAACAATCTTAAGAATAGGGCCATTTAAAGATAGAAGTCACAAAGAAATGCAAATCCAAAGAAAGTAAAAGAGGTAAAAAGGAGTTGTAATATTGCCATTGGTCCTTCAAAATTTATCCGGATTTGTCGGCAGTTCAATTGGCTTTCATTACCTTATCCTTTCTTTTTTCTTTTTTCTTTTTTCTTTTTTGTCAATATATGTTAGGCATATATCATTTTCCTCATTTTTAAATGCATTATGGGTCCAAATTTCACATATATACCAAAGTTGGATAATTGTTTTAATGTATGCTAGTGGTATATTTGGTTGTAATAGGGTTTGATTTTTCGACAAAACCTATGTTGAATTGATGTAATAATTTAGGAAAATTGATTTTTTTATTTGAAATTTTTTTAATGGATTGAATTCTCAACATAACGAATTGACAAAAAAAAAATTAAATTAACCAAGATATTTTTCAATATTAATCTTTTTTAATTTGCCATCAATATTATTATCGTATCACTCTTTTTTAAAAATGCCATATACATAATATTTATTTATATTTTGAAGATATTTTTATAAATAAGGGGAAGAGAGCYCACCAACCGGTTGAATCAACAATCTTGAAGTCATTCATCTTCCAAGGGGGAAGAAGAAGATCTTACATAAAATAACTTTTCATCTAGATTCGTTTTGAGGCAAATTCAYTCAAAATTATCGTAGAGGCAGAAATTCAGCCACTCATGATCTTGTGATGGGCATACGAGTCGGGAGCTTTGGAGATTTGAGAGAGAAATTCCCCTTCTTGGTTCAATTCATTTAATTTTTATGTTGTTTTAGGGATTTAGTTTGTTTATGTTTTTCTCCTTAAAAAAAACAAGAAAATGAAATTTTCATATTTAAATATCATAACTTCTTCAAGTTTTTTTTTGGTGATGTATACATCAATAGACCATGATTACTTAAAAAAAAAACATTATGGTAAGTAATATATACGATTGCTTCTATAAATACGTAAAAACATGTCAACACGAACATAGCACAACTAACTAGAATATATATCTTCTATTAAAAGATTAGAGGTTTAAATTCTCACTTCATATATTATTGTATGTAAAATGATAATTAAAAAAATCTTAAAAGACTTTTTTTTTTTACCTATGATGCAAAATCAAACTGGACGATACAAGCTGGAGGGGGTCTCCAATGAATGTGAARTGTAGTTTCAGAAAAAGGAACCGAGGTTATGAGAGTAAGTGAAGTTGGGCGGGCTACTCTCCAGGGCATCATTCATATCTCGAGGAGTGYGTTAGTGTTTCGGTAGCTTGCTCCTAAAAGCAGGAATGAGACAATCCCGGGAACCTCCGAGGATCTAACATTAATCCTCTCATACCTCAAAATTGGTGTACTTGAGATATTTCCTCGAGCTCCCGAAAAAGACATTATATGGACTAGCTCATAGCACGATGGAATTGTCCGATTATAGCTCGACGCGCTGCTTCAATGGCTCGATTTGGTACCGCTCTCGCGGCCCGTACCGAAACTGTGCTTTATCCCTAGATGTCTTAGAGGTACTAAATACAACTCCATGAATGGAAGTGGGCGATACGTTTTTGTATTTCTATGAGAAGCTCTACGACACCCACGATTTCCAGACCGGGCCAAGCCTTTAGGTTGTTTAAATAGGTTGGACTAGGTTAGGTTGATCTTTTGGAGTGATGATCCTCGAGAAGCCTCGTCGYTCCCTTTTTTGTGGTGAAAAACAACTCTAACCAAACCAAATAAATCCTAAAACATTCAAATGAGCCATCATTTTTGCATACATCATTGATGGCTAACCAATGCATAAAAGAAAAGTAATATTAAAAGACGAGAGAAATCCAAATATTTGGTAGCTATCTAAAACTTTTTGTCAAATCCCCACAAGCTAATCCATCATTATCAAATGGGAAATATAAAATATGTTTCCTCTTTTTTTAAATTATCTTGTGCAATAAATTAAATTCCACATGTACCTCTCCCACAATGGTTGACTTTGAGGATTATTGCTCCACATGACCAGTATAGAGAGGGTTTGGGAGGGCACTTTTGCCATTTACTATTTGATACCCAACTCACATTATCCTTTTCTTTTTCTTTCTTTTTTTTTTTGAGATAATTAAATTTTAGCCCTAAATTTGATAAAGTTTATCAATTTTTAGCATAAACATTTCAATTTCATCGAATTGAAACTTAGCCTTGGATAAGTGTTGTAATCTTGAATAAGTGTTGCAATTGTTATCTTAATAAGCTTTCGTTTGAGGTTAGAAAAGCGCTTTAATTCATGTTCGAATGAACTATTTACATTGGTCAAATATGAAATTACATTAGAATTGAATTTTTGAGATTTATTCAACAGCCAATCTTGCACATTATCGGGCTTAATTATGCATGAAGCTTAATTTTTGTTGGAAATTAATAAGGTTTTGAAAAACTTTACCTTAATTTTTATTAAATTTAATCTAAATGTACGAAGCTTAATTTTTGTTGAAATTAATAAGGCTCTGAAGAACTTTACCTTACTTTTTATTAAATTTAGTCTATAGATTCAACGAAATTTAAATCGAAGATGGTCATATGTTGGAATGCTCATCTTGTTGGTGGATGTTTCCCGAGACTACATGTAAAACTAGTTCAGACACTCATCGATGTTAAGAAAAAAAATCTTGTAGAACCGGTGGACAGATAATATTAAATTTTCTTTTAAGGGGAGGGCCCACCATAGTAGCCTCAGCACGCCCTAGAAAAAGAAATGGCATTTAATCATTTGTTTGCCAATTAATGAGGCTCCATTTTCTACCACCCACACCCACATGGGGTTATTTAATATTTATTATATACTCACTTAAAAACATATAWATTATTTATATTCAATATTAACCAACTCTAAGAATTGTATCTAATATCTCTAAAAGATGTTGACTGTCCAGTAGATCCCTAATTTGTGATTTATACAAAATTAACTTATYACACACAACTCTGAATTTTGAAATATTAGAAACTCTTTTGTAATTTAACCTTTTATATTTTTAGAATACCAATTCAAAATTTTTAGTACCAAACCCGAATTTTTCCCATTCAAAGAGGCTGAGGTGGAAATTCAAAAATGGAAGTTATCGTTCCTCTATAAATATTGTACACTTTTTAATAGCAGCAAAATACACAAATCTTTTTTACATTGAAGGAAAAAAAAAATCAACTCATAGTAGAACGTTTCAATGTAAATGGGTCCTATTCAACAATTTATGAGAATAGGCTAAGAATCACTGCTAAAATTAGTTTAGCTAAACATAATCCTTTAAATAATTCTCAATCGAAATTTTATAGTAAATCGGAAAAAAATTGAGAACTTTAAAATAYTAGAAACCGGCTGTGACTACTTGATTAATTTACCCTTTTCTTTTCAGCTTGAATCTGTCACATCCAATTATACTTCCGATTAAAAAAGCAAACTGTTTAAAAATAAGTCTTTACCTGATTTAAYTGAGAAATGGATATCCTGAAAATACTTTAACCCATATTTCAGCAATTGGAAAGAACCTTTAAAAATGAGGAAAAAATAAGAGGAAGGTAACCATAAATAAACGAGGCAAGAATTGGRAAAATTTATCCTCTTCTAATAAAAAATGGATGGAAAGAGCTTTAGTGCAGTTGTGGTTTAAGAAACCAAACACATTCTAGATGGAATCGAACCGAACTGAACCGACCCGCTTACACCACTACAAAAATGAGTACATATACTAGGAAAAAATTGAACCTAAAAACTCAAGCTAATAAACAAACTGTTGCTATCATGGAAGGGGCTAAGTATTATAATTAAACAACTATTACCATCAAAACTGAAGTTCCAAAATAGTTGTTTCATTCAACTGCAACTGCTCGTCGCCTTCAAAAGATGAAGCAATGGTTAACACATTTATGCAGCACCGGCTCCTTTTCCCTTCTTTCTTTGCAGCTTCTTCATATAGAACTCGAGCTCTTTGCCCTCCAAGATATATCTGTCACAAATTCGCTAAATCCTCAGCAAAGTTACCCAAACACCCTTTCCCCACTCAGTGATTGTGCTCAAACAAGTTGGAAAGAGCACAACATAAAGTAGAATATCACCAAGTGCTTTATGATGCTTACCCATCTGCTCGGCCACATTGCCCAGGTCGTGATGAGATACAAGCCATCAAACGACCGCTGCTGAATTGTTCTTCAATATGTGCATCAAGCTGACGGTCCTGCTGACGTTTCTCTAGTTTGCGCTGGACATGGTTACTCTTCTTCTCCTCCTCATCACCTTCCTATCAACACAAAAAAATAAAGTTTGCATTAGAACACGTTTTGTATCATATTAAAGCATTAAAAAATGGGATTTGAGATCGTATAACCCCAATCAATCAGTCGATCTATAAATCTTGATCTACCTCTTCCTTCTTCGCAGATGCTGTGGTTTTCTTCTTCCGTCCAATATCCACYCCATAATGCTGAACATACCACTGCTTAAATGGTGCTGCATCAACCTGAACAATGGCACTCTTCACCAGAGATTGAGTACGGACGAGCTCGTTGTTAGATGCATTGTACACCACATCAAGAATACGGGTCCTTCTAGTCACAGCCTCACTACCCCAAGAGTAGTTTCCTTGATCAAGCCTAAAAGCACGCCATTTCACATTACCCCCACGAACTCTAATCCTCCTGACTGACTTGTCGCTGGACAACTTAGTGTTGGCAGGTTGCCTTCCAAGCTCATACCTTTACAAACAAACAAGGGGAAAGAAAAGATATCAGAAGAGAGCTTCATTAATACAGCACGTGGAAGTTGTTTTCTGAAKTGAAAAAAAAAAAGTGACAAGTGATAGTTGAACTTTCAATATCAACAGCTCATAAATAAATACAAGGTAAAAAGAAGGTTACATTTCAACTTCTGTATTAGAAAATTTTTAGCATCAAATCATAACAAAACACAAATATTGGAAGAGAGACTATGTTTCTACATCAATAAGAGAAGTCGCCCCATTCATAAAACAAGTGAATGTGAAGACATTTTACATGACACGTAATAATTTATACAATAAAAACAACGATCAATCAGTGACAGTGAGGATGAGATAGCTAGTTCATGCAGATTAACTAAGCTTATTAGAATCTATATCAGAAAACAAAACAAATGACATAACATTGCCACCAATGACATCACCACTTATCCACAAAAAAATAAAAAATAGAAGTAAAAATCAATATGCAAGGTTAACCTAAAATATTACCAGTGTGTACTAAAAACCAAGCAAAGAAAGATARGTATGAAATTTTCTGTTGATCTATCAGCAACTAATGTGGGGAAATGGAAGTAAAAACTGATGAATCAAATTGGACTAGGCTAAATATAAGCAGAGGTAGTTACTTTCTCTTCTTCCTCCAGGCCTTCTTCTTGCCTCCAGTGGCACGCCTCTTGTGCATAGAGTCACGAGAAATACCTATCCACAAAGTCCCCCCACATTAACAAAACTAAAACATGGTAAAATACCTGAGATAAGTAGAAAAGTCTGGAAATTTGTAACTGACATACCCATATTGGCGAGACTAGAGCTCTTAGAGTGAAGAGGAGTCTAAGGTACCTGATGGGATGCAGTCTGTGAGAAAAATGAAAGATATARAAAACAGCTCTCAAACTCTAAAACATTAACGAAAACGTGAAAGATACAAAGACGGGAAATTCTATACGAGATGAGAGTTTAAGTTTGAGAACAAAAGCATATTTCCTGATAGAAGCTACAGGGCTCTTTATTTTTGKCACAAAATTCGTGGCTTGGTCTTATATTTTCCATATCCCACTTGCAATAAGTTCTAAAGTATAAGTAGTCTTTGTGTTGCTAGGCTAAGATGCTTTTAGAGATTATTAAGGCTGTACATMGGTTAGTTTTGTTTCAAAATATGGACCAGCTCTTTCTAGCAAACTAATGACCAAACCCAATACTCTGCCGGTTTCCTGAAAATTAAAATTAAAATTATTTAGTTTTTTTTTT